AGTGAATGAATTAACATGGGATTTAATATCAATCTCTAAAATTTGTCCTTAGAATTTGTGCATGTTGATTTTTCTTAAGAGCCATTTTAAGGAAACTTAATTACATATCAAGTGTTATGAGCACTAATGAGGCTAATTGGATAATTTTCTGAAATGGCAGTTTTTACTTGATATCATCACGATGTGTTCATTTCTTTAACTACAAGTTTTGAAACAGCAAAACCACAGGGCGCCTGGGTGGCTCAGTCAGCTAAGCATCCGACTTTGGTTCAGGTAATGACGTCACAGTCTGTGAGTTGGAGCCCTGCGTTGGGCTCTGTGTGTCAGCCTGGAGCCCTTGAGCCTGCCTCGGGTTCTGTGTCTCCTTCTCTCTCTGCCCTTCCCCCACTTGTGGTCTCCCTTTCTCTCTCTCTCACAAATAAACATTAAAAAAATTATTAAACAATAAAACCACAGATTCTATAGTGTTTGTATGGGGCTCAGATATTTGATAGGGCAGCATTCAAAGGTTCTTGCTCCATTAGCCCACCAAGTAATTCAAAAACAAAACAAAATAATTGACACCAACACACGTTTTAAAGTTATTAATGTTTAAAATAATAAATTTAAATATTTTGCAAAGGATGTATTTCTGACAGTGTAAATTGACACTTCAATTGTATTAATTAGAAGCAAAATAACAAATTGATTTGATTCCTGCTTTCATTCATTTTAAAAATACATTAATGAGCTCTTCTTTCACAGCAGAAAATGTAGTGTTCATTTTTCTCCCCTAAATCTGTATTTTCATTCCACTACTTTCAATGTCATTTTAAAAAAATATTTTTAAATGTTTATCTATTTTTGAGAGAGAGAGAGAGAGACAGAGCGTGAGTGGGGAGGGGCAGAGAAAAAGAAGGAGACACAGAATCTGAAGCAGGGGCTGTCAGCACAGAGCCCCATGCGGGGCTCAAACTCACAAATCATGAGAACATGATCTCAGTTGAAGTTGACGCTTAAGTGAGCCACCCAGGTGCCTCAGTGTCAAATATTTTTATGCCTGTAAGTCTTCTGTGGATAGACCCATCGAACTTTTTTACAACAAAAATATGTATATACATTTAAATCTAAATTTTTAAGGTTTTGTGATCATAGGCTCAAGTACTAAAAAATTTTTGGATTGAGTTATTATAAGCATTACTAATATGTAGATTAAAATATAAATATACAACAAAAATTATGATATGTAATTATGAAAAGTAAAATTTTTTTAGCAATGCATTTCTTTTTTTTTTAACTTATTTATTTCGAGAGAGACAGAGACAGTGTGAGTGGGAGAGGGGCAGAGAGGAGGAGAGAATCTCAAGCAGGCTCCATCAACGCTGCCAACCCAGAGCCCAGTGCAGGGCTTGAATCCACAGAGCCCCGATATCATGACCTGACCCGAGAACAAGAGCCAGATGCTTAACCTACTGATCCAGCCAGGCATCCCACAGTGCCTTTCTTAATCAGATGATTGGAACTAATTTTTCTATAAGTTTATGTATCCATGTTTGAATATTATTTATTGCTAGAATTACACAGAGTTTAGCATAGATTCTATGCCTATTTGTTGTTTTATAGTTGTAAGTTCTGAGAAAACTTACTACAGAAATAAGCAGATGGGAAAGAATGTTTTGTCATAGCACTATTACTCAGTTTTCCGAGCTTGCAAGTTTTACAGTAACATATCATCAGTAATTATTATTAATGCACTCTCAGCCAATATGTCCTGCTTTTATATTGATAGCAAAGAATGAGGAACTTACCTGACAAGCAAAAAGATTATTTAGTCAGCCATTAAAGTCCTCAGCACCAGGGTTTAGGAATCTCTCTGTGTTTGGTGCCTCAGGGGTTTTCACATCTCTGGACGATCTTGGGTTTGACAATGAAATACCATACATGGCTTTGAGATGAGTGAAAGGTGTGCTTTTTAAAAATTTTGATGGTGGGGAGTAATTACTAAAATAAAAATGGTAAGGAGAATCCACAAACACCTGGACCATAAGTGTGTTTCCAGGCAGATTAATGGCAGGAAACAGTCCTTTCAAATTGAAGTTGAGAATCTGAAATTGATGTCCTTTAAATAACCTCTGTCTGTGTACCCAAGTGGAAAATGCCAGAGTCACATTGCAGTTGGAAGACCATGCGTTCTGACCATATTTCAGAACCACGTGTTTCCCTACCACACACCTTCCCTAGTCCTTCACTCGTGTAGCAATTTCTGTTTTCTTTAAAAAGAAAAAAAATGCTCTGGGAGCCTGGGTGGCTCAGTAAGTGTTCAACTTCGGCTCAGGTCATGATCTCATAGTTAATGGGTTTGAGCCCCGTGTCGGGCTCTGTGCTGACAGCTAGGAGCCTGGAGCCTGGAGCCTGCTTTGGATTCTGTCTCTCCCTCTGTCTCTTAAGATAAATAAACATTAAAAAAATTTTCTTAAATGCTCTATTATAATTAGCTTGTAAAGCTCCAGCAACTGCACTCAAGACTAAAATATGAATAAGCTGCATAAGGAAAAGAGCAGTAGGCTCTGGAAGTATAGTGTGTCAACTTCTAGAATCTGCAACTCACTCTTAGGAAATATGATTTATATAGGAGCATCACACTTGATGACTGTAGTAAGAGGATCAAGGGTGACCAACTATATATATATATATATTTTTTTTTTTTTCTCTGAGAGAGAGACAGCATGAGCAGGGAAAGGTCAGAGAGAGAGGGAGAGAGAGAGAGGGAGACACGGAATCTGAAAAATGCTCCAAGCTCTGAGCTAGCTGTCAGCACAGAGCCCGATGAGGGGCTCAAACCCATGAACCGTGAGATCATGACCTGAGCCGAAGTCGGACACTTAACCAACTGAGCCACCCAGGTGCCCCAAGGGTGACCAACAATACTTAAAAGCAATTGATAAGATGATGATTGCTTACAGTCACATCCACCAGGGTGAAATACTCTTTTAGAAAAATAAGCTGAAATTAAAGTACAAATCCAGTATTCAGTGATTCAGTTTTAATTCACCAAGCAAATATTTAAGAGTCTACCATGTGCCAAGAATGTACTGGTTGCTAAAGATTTTGAAATTAGTTCTTAGACTAATTAGCTTCTGGCAGAAAGGCATGCACAGGGTGACTAAGAGCAGCCGACGCTGGGGCCACCTCTGCTTTAACTCGGCTCCATTTTTTAGGGTTAGTTGGCTTCAGGCAAGTCCCAGATTCCTTTTCTGAAAAATGGAAATAATAATATGTAGTTCGTAGTATTACTGTAGGGCTCAAGAAGATAGTTCTGTAATAAACACTCTGAAAGTGGTAGTTACTATTATCAGCACTGTATTTATTGCTTCCACCACCCTGGCACCTGGCGTGGTATCTGCACATAGAGGGAGACTCAATAAATGCTACTGAGTCAACAAATAAATGGGCAAATAACAAATAACAAGCATTTTTATATGCCACTCTATTTGTAAACAAAGGAATTACATTGTGGGCAAAACAGGTTATTAACAAATGTCCAGTTTTATTTACAATATTCATTCATTCTACTCTAATGCCAAATAACATATTTATTTCTCCCTTCTATTCAATGAAATCATAGATTTACTTTCAGTAAGCATTCTGTGTTTTCAAACATTCTCCCATCATTTTTTTTTTTTTAGCAGAATCTGGGCGGATGAAAATTATTAAAGGCTTTTATTTTTTAAAAATTTATTTATTTTGAGAGAGAGAGAGAGCGTGAGTGAGCCTGAGTGGAGGAGGGGCAGAGAGAGAGAGGGAGACAAAGAATCCCAAGCAGGCTCCACACTTAGCCGAGAGCCTGACGCGGGGCTCAAACTCACCAACTCTGAGATCATGACCTAAGTGGAAATCAAGAGTCGGATGCTTAACCAACTGAGCCACCCAGCATCCCTCTTTTAAAATGGTACAAAATAGTTCCAGGAAACCCAAACGTTTCCTAGAGCTATCTGAACCTGGTGGTAAAACCGTTTCCCATTTTTTAGGATTCCCAGGCGGAAATGGGGAACCAATGCCATAGCGCCCTGGTGAGGTGAGAGTTTAAGGGACCATGGAGGACATATTATTGTAGAGCGTTTCTCTTGTGCCAGTTTGGGTGCTGCTCTGGTGGTACTAAGGGGCAATTCTTCCCCTTTTTGAGGTGAAAAGCCTAAATTCAAGGCCTCCAGCGTCTTTCCCAAGAATCCCTTTCTGTTTGCTCCCCTCCCCCGCCTTTACTTTCACTGCTCTGCTTATCCCATCCAGGAACAACCTCTGCAATACACTGGAGGGAAGGCTGGGTATGTGTGCCTTGTGAAACACATTGTGGGGCTCCCCACGTATAATTAGTGCTCCAATATTGATTATTTGAACAAGCTCTTTATATTGACTTGGATCCTGTTTCTTGCTCTTAATCATTAAAAAAGTATTGGGTGGGGTGCTGGGGTAGTTCAGTCGGCTGAGTGTCTGACTCTTGCTCAGGTCATGTTCTCACCGTCAGTGAGTTCGAGCCCCACGTCGGGCTCTGCTGACAGCTCAGAGCCTGGAGCCTGCTTCAGAGTCTGTGCCTCCCTCTCTCCTTTTGCCCCTCCTGTACTTGTGCTCTCTCTCTCTCTCAAAAATAGGTAAACATTAAAAAATGGATATTGGGTTATTAAAATTCAGAAACATAAATAAAGCCTGGGAACTAGTGAGCAGGCTTTTAACTGATCACTCTACCGGGTCCATTAATCCAGTCCTGAGCGTACTGGAGGAAATATATTTTAAAGTTTCCCCTAATATAAATAAATTTATTTCTAACTATCCTTCCTTTCAAATACAAAACAAATTTCGAAGTATTCTCTAGGTTATGTTAGTACTTTCGGTGATGGTGGTACTCTCCGTCTCTTGTCCTGTTTGAAAACTACTGAATTGTGCAAGCAGTTGAAGAGAATTAGGAATGTGTTTTGTTCTCTTTCCTAGCTCTGTTTTTCATTCTCTGCACGCCCACTCCTGCCCATGAATCCAAGGCTGCAGTCTTTCTCTCTAAAACCTATTTGTGCTTGCAGTGTACCCACTGGTTAATTTACACAGCTCTGATTCATCCTGACAGTCATAGGCTTCCGACAGGTGAGTACCTCCGGGCAGTCACCTGGAGACACTTTTCTGTACTAATACATATGTTTCATGACGGAACTATGTATCACCCTCATTTTCCAGGTATAAGATATGACAGAGTTCCAGTTTCTTATCCGATACTCTGTTTATATTTTTTTCATGTCTGTATAAGATGTTTGTATTTTTTTCATGTTTCTTCTTAGGCGTGTCTCAGCAATCATTTTTAGTTTTTCTGATCTTATCAATGATCCTCCAGATATTTCATTGTCCCTGTGGTTTCTTTCCCTTCTCGTTTGTAACACAATACTTTGTTGTTCCAGTAATGTATTAGTCGAAGATGATTTCTGCTGGGCCGTGTAAATAAATAATGAACCATGAAACCTGCAGGGAAAAATGGCAACATTACAGGAGAAAACTGTAACTAACAAGGAAGAAGCTGGCTGAAGGCCTGGTTTGGGGCTGGCTCTATTTAGGCAGGTGGAGTGTATCTTTCAGCTTCTCTTACTCTGTTGCTTCTTCATTCTTTCTTCCCTACCTGCAGTGTCCCTTGACCTCTCAGAAGCTTTGAATTCTCATGTTTCCCTGTTTCCAGGCAGGAAGAGAAGCCATCCGTGGAGGACAAACTTTGGGGCGTCTGCTATGCATACCATATCTCCGCCTGTTTTTAAATGCCTCCCTCATTTACAGGGAGGCTACCTGGTAGCCATTACTCTATCAGGTGACTCACCCCCAGCCATTATTGATTGTACCAGGACAAAAACGTATTATTCAAACTGGTGATCAGTTTGATAATAAAAAATGAGTCATTGAGGGGCACCTGGGTAGCTCAGTCGGTTAAGCATCCGACTTCGGCTCAGGTCATGATCTCACAGTTTGAGGGTTCGAGCCCCGTGTCGGGTTCTGTGCTGACAGCTAGCTCAGAGCCTGGAGGCTGTTTCAGATTCTGTGTCTCCCTCTCTCTCTGACCCTTCCCTGCTCAGGCGGTCTCTCTCTCTCTCTCTCAGAAATAAATAAAAAAAAAAAACATTAAAAATTTTAAAAAAAAACAAACTTCAAGTTTGGTCCAAAGCTCTTACCTCCTTTTCGGCACACAAAAGGCTCATGGTCCCACTGACTTATGTGTGATCTTGTGGTTTTGTGCATATGAGTGATAGGGGAGTGTGCACTCTTCTCTCACAAAAGCCTTTTTCCATGATTGACCCCTCTAGCATGGGGAGAAGGAAGAGGGAACAAGAAAAGATGTCTCCTGAGGCGAAATACTCTGCACTTCTACTGGAGTTCCTTATCTCTAAGAGGCATTCCCCAGCAGGCATCTTGAGGTAAATCGGCAAGACCAGGGTTCAGCAGCCACATGATCCGGGCCTGAGAGGTAAGGCTTCTCTTTCTTTCAGATTCCCACCCACTTGGAGTGGTTCCCTGTAGCTCCCCTCCCTCAGTTTTGGCGAGGGGGCCAATCCGCAGACCTGGGTTTCTTATCAATCCTTGCCTTTCTCCCCAAGAGGAAAACTCTTTAGACCTTTTCATTATAGAACCTGGCAAAGCAGTCTAGTGTCTCTGGTCCCTGAGAGTATGGGAGTCTCTAGTTAGCAACTGCTCCTTTATTTCAGCTCTGAGGATTTCCTAACTTTTCTTTTATATATATATATATATATATATTTTTTTTAATTTATTTCTAGGAGAAAGAGAGACAGCGTGAGCAGGGGAGGGTCAGAGAGAGAGGGAGACACAGACTCCGAAATAGGCTCCAGGCTCTGAGCTGGCAGTCAGCACAGAGCCCGAAGCGGGGCTTGAACCCACGAACCGCGAGATCATGACCTAAGCGAAAGTCGGACGCTTAACCGACTAAGCCACCCAGGCACCCCCTAAATTTCTTAATACAGCAGTGATCCCTGCACCCTTCTGCTAACTAGAGGGGCGGGACTGGCTCTTCAGCAGAGGCTCACAACTGTACTGCTGCTGTAGCTCAAGGGGGTTTTTGTTACTTACAACCAGCATCTCAGCTATTATGCCATCAAATAAATTAATTCTGTCTTTGAACTTTTCAAAATGTTTATTTTTGAGAGAGAGAGACAGAGTGCAAGCAGGGGAGGGACAGATAGAGAGGGAGAGACAGACCCTGAAGCAGGCTCCAGCAGTGCTGACAGCTCAGAGCCTGACACAGGGCTCCAACCCACGAATCATGAGATCATGACCTGAGCCGAAGCTTAACCGACTAAACCTCCCAGGCCCCCCATCAAATAAATTAATTCCTATTCATCTATGTATAACTTTTCCCAATGGTATGCATTTGGTAATATTGTTGTCTACAGAAGTCAATGTGTGTCGCAGAGGAATGACTCTTTCTTGAAACTTCCAATCCCACCATGTTAGTGCCTTATGTGAGACTCACCCTCCAGAGAAAGCTGACAGTTTTGCGATTTTTCCTCCAGTAGAAGTTGGCAGCTTCCATGTAGGAATAGAGAAAGCGTGCAGTGGGGTTGCTCCAAGGCTGGGCTTTTCAGGGAGCACAGTGATAAAGAAGAGAATGAGGAGGTGAAGGTGGCCGGTGGGGAGCTGTTAAAGCGATAACCGCTTTAGTGAGGCCCAGGGTGTAGAGCATTAAGTGGTTCCCCATCTCTCCTGTCAATGGAATCAGCTGCGGAGCCTTTGAAAGCTTTGCATGTTGAGTCTCTTCCCCAGGGCATCTGATGTCACTGAGGCAACTTAGTCATCCTGAGTGATCCCAATATAATGAAGGTTACAAAACACCAGTGTATGTAAGAAAAAGAAATGAAGGTAAATAGGCCCTGGCAGATTGAAAAGGGAAGGAGAGGTCACGACTGAGTGAGACCTGGATTCAGAAGGGAGGCGGCTCTGAGGGTGGGATGTTGGGATTGATGGTAATGATGAGTTTCTGGTGTGGCTCAGAGTGGCGGGCTTCCTTGAAGCGGGAGGAGGTGAAGGAGCTGATGAGGTGAGGCTGCAGGCTGGATCACCTTCCTGGGTGGTTATCATTTTCTGGGGGACTGACCGGAGGCTGCGGTTGCAGAGAGAGCATGTGAGAAGAGGTTCACGCTCTTGCTGACTATGGTGGAGGGATGGGGGGAGGGGGAGATTGAAAAAGACAGGGATGGGAGGAAGATGGCTGTTTGGATGACATGAGCTGCAAAGGAGAAGAGGCTTTTTGGGGTGGGGAAGTCATGTTTTGGGGAGGCTGGGTGGCTCATTAGCTAAGCGTCCAACTTTGGCTCAGGTCATGATCTCATGGTTTAGGGGTTTGAGCCCCCCATCAATTCTCTGCTGTCAGCACAGAGCCCGCCTCAGATCATGTATCTCCCTCTTTCTCTGTTCCTCCCCCCTTCTTGTGCACACACAATCTCTCTCTCTCTCAAAAATAAACTTTTAAAAACAACCCTAATTTCTTTGAAAAAAAAAAAGTAAGAAAGAGAAAGTGCTGGTTGGAAATTGCCGTGGGGAGTTTAGAGGAGCTGTAACTACACACTTCCCTGCAGGCAGTTTAGGAGAAGGTTGGTGTGTAGGAAAACTCAGCATCCCCCTGGGAGCTGTGAGTCACTCTTTTCTGTGTGTCTCCACTAGTCACACAAAACACGTCACTTCTGCTGACCAGATTGGTGGTCATGGGGAGGGGTTCCCTCACACCAAACAGTTCTCAGTGACACCAGCTGGGTGGCCTACAACTTTAACTCACTCTGAAGGTATTTAGTGTCAGGTCACACAAGATAAGAGGCTCAGTCCTACAAGACTTCGCACCCCACTTCCTTCTGTCAGATGCTAATAGCAAGTTCAAATTGTCACCTGTGCTTCTGACCCACGGGGTATAAATCAGAGGTAGCCACCACCCCCTCCTCAGGTTCAATTGATTTGCTAGAGTGGCTCATGGAACTCAGGGAAACACTTGTGTTTACCACTTTGCCCAAGGATATGATAAAAGATCCAGATGAACAGCCAGATGAAGAAAAATATAGGGCAAGGTGTGGGAGGGTCTTAAGAGTAGGAGTTTCTGTTCGCATGGAGTTGGGTTGTGTCACCCTCCTGGTGGATGTGTTCATCCACCTCTAAGCTCTCTGAACCCTGTGCCATTGGGGTTTTATGGAGACTTCATTGTGTAGGCATAGGTCAGTTATGAACTTCATTTCCAGCCCCTTTCTCTAGGGTGGAGGATGGGTGATGGGGCTGAAAATTTCCAGATTCTAATCAAGGCTTTGTCTTTCTGGTGATCAGCCCCCATCCAGGAGCCCACCTCAAGAGAACCAAAGAGGGGCACCTGGGTGACTCGGTGGGTAAAGCAGCCATCTCGATTTTGGCTCAGGTTGATCTCACAGTTTGTGGGTTTGAGCCCCACATTGGGGCTCTCTCCCTCTTTCCCTCAAGGAACAAATGATGTTCCTAGTGCCCTTATCAGTTAGGAAAGTCCAAAGTTTTAGGAGTTGTGCACCAGAAGCTGGGGGCAGAGACCAGGATATGTTTTCTATGATCTCACAGTAGGAAATGGGCAGTTGCCGTAGGACAGAGCTGCAGTCCGAAACTTCTTAGCTTTTAAAAGCATCACCAAGGATACTCCATGGAGAAAGGATCTGAGGAATCAGAGAGACTGCTGGAGACACCTGTGTGATGGCTTGATCCAGGGAGTGGATGAAGAAAGGAAGTGAGAGGTGGTTGGATTTTGGATAGACGGTATTTTGAGTAGATCTGACAGATTTTGTTGATGGATTGAAAGTTGATGTGAGAGAAAGAGAGGAGTGAAGGATGACTCCAAGGTCTTGGCTTGAGCAACTGGAAGACTGGAGCTGCCATATACTAAGATGGAAGACGCTGTGGCAGGGTCAAGTTTAGGTGAACAAAAAAGAGAAGGACCTGTCCCAGTGGTTAAGTGGGGCTGCTCTTAGGGTGTGGAGGGTTCTGGGAAATATTTTCTGGGACACCTGTCAATATAAGTAATTTGATTTAAACAGTGTTTTTTGTTTAAAATATATTTAAAAATTCATGAGCTTGGGTTGCCTTGGTGGCTCAGTCAGTCAAGCATCCCACCCTTGATTTTGGCTCAGGTCATGATCTCTTGGTTCATGAAATTAAGCCCCACGTGGACAGCGTGGAACCTGCTTGGGATTCTCTCTCTCCTTCCCGTTCTCTCTGCCCCTCCCCCACTTGCACATGGGCTCCCTCTCAAAATAACTTAAAATAAAACTTAAAGAAAATTAAATAAAAATTCCTGAACTTATGTGCGGTGTGGTGATCTGCCATGTGATTGAAAATAGTGGGTGGGAAAGGGGCACTTCTGTATTTGCTCCTTGTCCAACTAGTGTACGTAACAATTACCACCATCTCTCCCTGTTAAGGAACAGGAGCCATCTCTTCTTGTTCATTTTTGTCAGATGTGCTACCTTTCACATCTTCCATCAGGAGAAAAAGATAGCACGCTATTATTATTCTCATTACCATGCCATGGTTCTTTGGAAACTCTTTGTATTGAAACAATACAGATCTTTCGTTTGCAGTTGTCTAATGCCATTTACTAATGCTGATTGCATTAGTCTTCTTGATGCCACATCGCCCACGGTGCAGCCTAGGGATACTGGCTTCCATGACTCTCAGAGATGACTGCTGTGCTTTGTACATGACCACAAGTGCATGTCTTACCCAGCATATGTGGGAATATGTGAATGATAATTCATTTTATGCTAAACTTACTGCTGGGAATTTGAAAGTGCAAATGAGGAGGAGTATATCTTCCAACCATGTTGTTAGGGTGTAAACTGCCTTCCCCAAATGTGATTGCTTTCAGTGTTGACTGTGTTGCTGCCTTTAACACACATGCATCAGTAGGCAGAGCTGGAAGAGAAGTTCCATTCACTCAAGGAATGTCCATCCCTTGTCTGGCATGACTTAATACTAATCTGGGAGACTAGGATAGCACCATATTCATAAGAGGCCAGAGGACACTGATGGAAATAGCCTGTTGAGATTGTGGAATAATTTCTGGAAAAGCCTCAGAGGATGAGGCATGGCCACCCCTCTTGGAGGCCTGACATATGTGGCAGAGCCTGTGGAGGGGTGTAGAGGGGTGGGGGTGTTGGGCGTGGGAAGTAGCAGTATCTGGGGAAGGATGCACAGGGTGGTGAACAGCCATTGCCTCTTCTGCTGTTCTTGGCTGCTGTGGACTGTGGGTGGTGCTGAGGTGGGAACCCCAAAAGATGAGAGCCAATGTGGAGCTCCTGTAGGCTGCTCAAGTCAGTGGCTGGCAGCGATCTTTGATGGCCCAGAGCCCTGAACTTGTCCTGTGTCTGATACAAGTCATACAGAACCAGTGTTGGCACTGTGCTGGTAGCCCATCTCACTTGATTCTGGGACATTAACACTGCCCCTGCCCCTGGGAGCATCCTCTCCCCAGGTGCCGCTGCTGGAACTGGGGCCAAAAAGAGTCCCAGGCCTCATGAGGGACTTGGGTGCTCCAAGAGTGGGATGGAAGTGGGGGGCATGGGAAGGGGGTACAGAGGAACACGGGGCACCAAGAAGGGAAGAAACAGGGACCAGTCCCATCCAGGCTTGGGGCACCCCTCCTGGATGGCTCAGTTGGCCCTGACCAGTCTTAGCCACTACAGAGGGACTTAAAAATTTGGGGGGAGGGCATCTCTGGTGACCAGGTCCAGGTTTGGGAAACTCTTCCTGGACAGCCATGGGTAGGGGCTCAGGGTTCAAGGCCCAGGGCCCAGGTAAGGGACTGCCTTGGGTCTAATGGTCAGACTGATGTCAAATACATGTTCTTGGTAATGGTCCCATCTGGATATCTAAATCTGGGAGCCATCAAGCTTCTAAAAATGGCTTTATGGAAGGAAAAGGTTCTGAGGCTTCTAGCTCCCAAACTCTACCACTTGATTATAAAACATGAGAAGGCAGTTCTCTCCCTTCTTAGGTAGATGAAAAACTCTAAGCAAGAATTATTGACTTAATGGTTTCTAGAACTTCAATAGCTTATGGAAACCTACAAAGAACTCTGAGTCCTGAAAACAGAAGCAGTTCATACTGTGAAAAACCACAGACCCGAATGTCCCTAGGAGTAGCACCTCTGGGAAGGAATGACATTCTTCATGTCCCAGTGCCTGACCGAGTCTAAGCTAATAACATTTTCCCTGCCCTCTGAACAGCGTTACTTGTTTCAGTCTGCTGTCTGCGTAGCCAGGGGAATAATTAATTAACAGTTAAGTCTGCTGGAAGCATACCACCAAGTGGCACTCGGTAAATATTTGTTCTCAGTGATGAGGCTGTTGCCTATCTATACGATCAAATGAGAAAAATTAAAATGTGGGGTTTTTCTTAGCGAGGTGTTAGACGTTTGTCATCTTATTGATGAGAAAATTGAAGGTCAGAGGAGCGAGGTGATTTATCCAAGGGTGCACAGTGTGATAGGGGCAAAGCAAGCCTTGTACCCCCAGTTCCTGATTCCAAATTTATTCATTGCTTTTTCTGCTACATTGCACTACTGTTTTGGGGAGATGGCTGAATTCCACTAAGCAAATTCACATGGTGAGACATTAACCTTTCCAAAGAACAGTAAAATCTCATTAAGTCAGAATAATTGGAAGAATGGCCAGGATGAATTGGGGAAAAGTTTGAACTATTTTCAGAAATTTTCAGCTTTTTCCTTTCAAGGCCATGTAGTAAATTGGAGCGAATAACCACCAAATGGGGCCAAAGAGAGGTCTCACTGAACCTGTGTGAAGGAGCAAACAGGAATAATTTATAAATGGTACATCAACAGTTTGCATGTAAGTGATGACTACCAAAAATATTATAGGCATTTGGGGAAACAAATTCTGGTTAAAAATAAGCTAAATGTTTCCCTTGAAATCTCCTTGCAAAAATTTACATAGGGGCTTTAACAAATATGTCAAACCACATGTTAAAATTATTGCGCCTTTGATTTAGTGGCATGTAAATTAACCTGTTTGATTTTGCTGTGCTCATACTCACGTTATTTCCATAGCTCACAGCAGCAAGAATGATGACATCTGTTTCTCACTTTCTATCCCCTTGATTTTCCCTCTATCCAAGGCCCACAGAATGCTTCCAGCTGCCCTGAGCCTGAGCATTTTCTGTCTATTCCTTTCCCTGACCACACTCCCCCCAGTTTTCACCAAATGACCCTCCCCTTCCTGCCACCGTCTGTGAGAAGGCCTCACATTTGGCCACCTTTCAGGTTTTTTGTTCAAGCACTAACATGAAGTTGTTCTTGAAGATGTTCAGAAATGCTGGGCCTTGCTTTCTCTAATTCTGTTGTGGAGCAGAACTGTCAGGCATACTACTCCTGAAGCAGTTGGTAAGCACCTTCTCCTTTTCTCTCTTCAAATTGACTTCTTCCTCCTTTAATGGGTAAGAATTAGGGTTGTCTGTCTGGCAGGCAGCACACGGAAGACTCCACGCTGTGCAAGGGATTGTTATTGACTTACAGGCAGCTATTTGGGAAAACAGTCTGTGTAATGATCTCAGCCAAGCTATGTGCAAGTTGGGAAAAAGAAAGATATCGGGGGAAAATGGATACACACACATATATAAGGCTTTCTGTGCTGGGTGAGTTGTCCTGGATGAGATTCAAAGATCCAGGTATCTTAGGGAAAAACTGACCGAAACAAAAACCATGGCTACAGATACTTCTGCCATTTCATGTTAGTTTATTCTGATGAAATAACTTCACTTCAAAGCAAACTAGAGCTCCTCAGGCCTTCCCCGCTAGTGACCTGCTGCCCCCCTCCGGAGAAGTTGGAAATTGCAGCTTTTGGTTCCTTCCTGTCCATTTCTGTCTCCTTACCCAAAGTCACTTGGCTGCAGCGTAAAGAAGCATGGGGCCGTAAACTGCAAACCATATATTCAGTGAGTTTACATTACACTGGGTAATGGAAGGATCTTTATTTCTGGGCTGGAGGATGAAGTCTTTAATTTTGTGAATTGTATGTCCCGGTTCCACTCTCCTTCTCCCACCAATCCAAGCTAAAAGCGTCTTTCTTGGCAGGCTGGGACTAGCAAGAAGTCCTTTCTGACTTGGCATCCTACCTTAGGTATCTTATCCTTAAAAGGGAAAGTCTAGACCCCTGAGCTTTACGGTCCCTCTGGCTGATTCCATAAAAATACCATTACCAGTGAAAAATGTCTATTTAATAACTTGAAGAAACTCCTAGGTATTAAACAAGCCTTCCTTTTAATGAGCAAGATTTCTAGAAATAAATGAATTACACTTGGTGCAAGGGTTGAATTTCAAAAAATTGTTTTCAGTATAGGAAATATGCCGCTAGGAGGCAGTGTTGGCATATAGTTTTATTCAAACATATCCAATATAGTCCCTTTTGAGGAAAATAATTTTTAAACCAAAGGCTATACGAATGATTAGAAATTATAATGTTTTGTGTGGCAACAAAGTTCTGCAAAGAGTAGTAAAGGGTCATCTATCTTATACAATAATAGAACAGTAAGTTGGATAAAAGTTTCTATCATCTGTGAGTGAAGTAAGAAACACTGAACCTGATTTGTGAGAAATGGTAGGTAGCAACTTGGTTAAAAAAAGAAAAAATGACATTCACTCTCCTTTTATTTCACCTCAGCCACATGCAGCCTCTGAAAGCTGTACTCCTTTGGCTTTATTTCTATGCACTGGAAGATGAGGATAGATTACTAATTATCTTAGTAAGAAATTTCTGGAAATTTTTTCCTCTTAAATACTGCTGCCTTCTCCTTTAAAGCTCAAATAGTTGTGAAGTAGGAAGGTTGTTATTTTTTTAAATAGATGAATAAACCGATGCATGGAAATTTCATGTAAAACTTAAGCAAATTAGAGAGTAAAAATAGAATAAAATACAACCATTGTAGTCTCACTGCTCTTCTTTTTTAATAGCTGAAGAAATTACAATTGCAAAACACCCCAAGAATGTGTAGAAAGCAGCACAAACTTTTCATACATTGAGAGTAGCCATGTTTATGCTAATATTTTGCATCTTCAGGTGTGAGGTCTTACGGCAGAGTAAATGTTATCATGTAAAAATATCATTCTCAATCTAGGAAACTTGGATAGAATTTGGAGAATCACTATTTTTTCTTTATTATATGTAAATTTTTTTAATATTTATTTTTGAGAGACACAGAGAGAGACATAGTACCAGTAGGGGAGGGGCAGAGAGAGGGGGAGACACACAACCTGAGCAGGCTCCAGGCTCTGAGCTGTCAGCACAGAGACTGACATGGAGCTCAAACCCATGAACCATGAGATCATGACCTGAGCCAAAGTCTGATGCTCAGCTGACTGAACCACCTAGGTGCCCCTACTAGACTTTTTTAAATGCTAGCAAGGTAACAACAGGCTCACTGTTCCTCAGCCTTACTAAAGGCATTTAGGTGGATCCATTTTTGTGCAGGATGGAGAAAATCTAGCTACTGATGCCTCCTTTCCCCTCCCCCATGGGTCTATACATTTTTTAGCAGTAGAAATGGGTGAAAGAGGGAGAACAACTCTGGAACTCTGAGAGCAGGATTCTGGTCTTTTGATACTTATTGATCAGGTCCCATATGACTGATTTTTTTAGGAACAAACTTAACGAAATGGCTAAGTCCCCATATCCGAAGTGTTTCATAACTGTTTTTCAAACTGTGGGTCAGACCCCACTAATGGGTCATAAAATCAGTTTGAAGGGTCTCAACCAGCAGGTTTTATCATTGAGACAGGATGGAGAGGAATAGAATAGAAAATGCCAAAATGAATCTCACATTTTATTTCAGCGGTTATATGGTATGTGTTTTACTGGATTATTATATAACTTTTGTTTTTTGTTAAGGGTCATGTTCAAAAGGACTTGGAAGTCACTTCCCTCTGGCACTTTATCTGTCTCTGCCATGACAGCTGCTGTCTCATCCTTCTTACCAGCCTGCAAACTTCTTGAAGTAGGAACAAATATAGGAATAACTTTTCCTTGGCCACAGTGATTTCCCTAACACCCTATACGTGGTCTGAGGGAAACTGTTTAAGATGTACTTCTTACTTATTTTGCTTCTAAGTAAATTTCTAAAGTATACTTTTAAAATCGTCAAGTGTTATTTGTAGTTCTGTGTCGTTCAGCTCTTACCAATTTTATGTGTGAGCCTGGCGTTAACATAAGCATTGCTTCTAAGCCATCTTTTCCTGATTTGGGAGAATGGTGGCCTGAGCATAAAAGTCACTAAAGATGGTTTGCACTGAGGCTACTGTGCAGATTTGAATTTCTGTTTTTCAAAGAGCTCTCTGAGCTGCTGCTCAGTGGTGGCTTCTTTCTGCTGCATCAGCTCAGCTGTTCCTTTGGTCACTCCCCAGGCGTCGGGCTTTGACATGGAAGGGTTGTATGGCCTGCCAGAGGCTATCTGAAGATTCTCCCAGTATTCCTTCCTGGCCCTGGGGGAACAAGACACACAACATTAGACTCCTGCCTGAGCGTCCTTGTCTGTGTCACTGAGCTAGAATATACCTCCACAGAGCTGTCTTTGGGCTCTTGAGGTGTCTGGGTGGCTCAGTCGGTTAAGCATCTGACTTTTAATTTCTGCTCAGGTCAGGATCTCACAGTTGTGAGATTGAGCCCCATGTGGGGCTCCACCCCCCTCCCCCCCCAGCATGGAGCCTGCTTGGGATCCTCCCTCCCTCCCTCTCTCTCACTCCTTTTTCTCTTCCCCTCTCCCCCCCCCCGCCCACCTCCTTCCCTCTACCCTACCCTGTTCATGCTCTCTCTCAAAATAAATCAATAGAAATTTAAAAAACAAAAATTCTTCCTTCGCCCTCCTCTGCCTTTTTGCCCTCCGGGGCCATTAGCTTAGACTGCATAGCATCTGTGCATATTTCATACTTGAACTTGATAAACCAATCTGAACTCACCTATTTATCTCTCTGCCTATCAGACTGTTAGCTCCTTGGGGACAGGCCTGTGCCTTGTTCCTGCTACCTCAGTGTCCACACCCGTGTCACACAGTTGTGTACAATCAATGTCAGATGAACAGACTGAAACTGTTTCTTTTGCTTGGTGTTCACCCCCACACCCTTCTTTATCTTGTGGCTACTTAGCCCTTCAAAAATACAGCCTCCAAAATGCTGTCCTCTAAAATATCTTTATATTTGGCAGAGATAGCCATTCTCTTCTCTTGTTACTTTTTAAATCTGTGCCTCTACCAAAGCAGATACTGCAGTATAATACATTGGCTTTCTTACCCATTTTCCCCAGTACACTGAGATTCTCTAGCCAGCTTTTCATGTATATTTTCCCAGTGCCTTGCACATTGCCTGATGTAAAATTTGTTTGTTTACTGTTCATCTCTCCCATTGGGATGTAAACTCTGGGGGCAAAGACCCATCTTATTCACCACTATATTCCTAACTCCAAGAATTGTAGTTGGCACAGAACAGACAATTAATATTTGTTACATTTAATTTATACTTAAATCTTTTTATTTAAAAACATTTTTAAGTTTATTTATTTTGAGAGAGCATGCAAGTGAGCAAGAGAGGGCATAGAGAGAGGCAGAGAGAGAATCCCAAGCAGACTCCATGCATTTAGCATGCTTTTAGCCCTATGCAGAGCTCGATGAGGGGCTTGAACTCATGAACTGTGAGATCATGACCTGAGCTGAAACCAAGGGTCAGATGCCCAACAGACTGAGTCACCCAGGCGCCCCAATTTACACTTCAGTCTTAACAACCAATTGATTAAATGTTGTCCAGTGTCCACCACATGGTACTAGCCCAGAGCATGAAATCCCACTTCATTGCAATTTATATTATTTATATTCTAAAGCCAGAAATCACTACACAAGGCTATTTTATAAATGTCTCTGTGAAAGAATTTAAGGAGGATAACTGATTATTTATCACCACACAGCACATTATCTACACTCTGTTATAATCTCACTCGGATATACTCATAATCTAAATGAATTTGGTTTGGCAAATGCAGATTAAAGGTTCTTACCTGGCTCTAATCCAGGGTTTGGTGTGCATGTCCAAACCACTTCCCCAGCTGCCGTGCTTTTCTGATGCTGGTGGCAAAAATCCCCTTTCTGGGGCCAGCTCCTCTGCAATCGCCCTGATGTGGTAGGGCTCAAATCCACAGCACCCGCCAATGTACCTGACCCCCAGCCTGTAGGCCTCTCTGGCGTATTTCTGAATATCCCATCTGGTTGCAGCTCTGGGCTCCAGTCCTATAATAATAGAGTGAATTCTTTTTTAAAAATTTATTCAAATTAAACAGCTATAATAAGCATGTTATTTTCAAGAACTGAATTAAGAAAGTTGTCAACATTCACTTATTAATTTTTTAAAATTATGAGCTAATTTGTGTTTATATGTCCAGTTTTATTTATTTATTTTTTTAAATGTTTTATTTATTTCTGAGAGAGAGAGAGAGAGAGAGAGATAGTGTGAGCAGGGGAAGGTCAGAGAGAGAGGGAGACACAGAATCCGAAGATAGGCTCCAGACTCTGAGCTAGCTGTGAGCACAGAGCCCGACACAGGGCTCGAACCCATGAACTGTGAGATCATGACCTGAGATGAAGTCAGACGCTCATCCGACTGAGCCACCCAGGCGCCCCTATATGTCCAGTTTTAAATGCTGTGATAGCCAACCTTCAAGATCGTTCCCAATGATCCCTGCCCTCTGATGCTTTTACCCTTGTGTAGTCCCCTCTCATACTGTTACCAGGTTGGTCTGAGAGACCAATAGCATATATCAGAAGGCATGGTTAGTGACTTCTGAGACTAACTCTACAAGGCATTATGGTTTCTTTCTTTCTTTTAAATATATATTTTTTACATTTATTTATTTTTGAGAGACAAAGACTCACAGAGCACAAATGGGGGAGGGGCAGAGAAAGAGGGAGACACAGAATCAGAAGCAGGCTCCAGGCTCTGAGCTGTCAGCACAGAGCCCAATGAGGGGCTCAAATTCACAAGCCAAGAGAGCATGACCTGAGCTGAAGTTGGATGCCCAGCTGACTTAGCCACCCAGGTGCCCCGGCATTATGGTTTCTGCCTCAATTTCTCTTGTTCTCTTTGAGCAGCTGCCATGTTGTGAGAAGACTCAGGCATCACAATGGGAAGGCCAATAATCAAAGGAACTGAGGCCTCTAGTTCTTCTCAATAGAATGGCAAGACACTAACACCTATTCCTAACAGCCAACTTAGAGAGCTTGGAAGTAGATTCCCTAGCTCTCATCAGGCCTTCAAGATGACTACAAACCTGACCAATATCTGGGCTGCAACCTCATAAGGGATGCCCAACAAAACTATCCAGCTAGGCTGCTCCCAAATTCATGACCCACAGAAACTCTGAGATATAATAACTGTTGTTTAAAGGCACTAAATTTTGCGTAATTTGTTCTATGGCAATAACACAGATGCTTTGCCTTTCTTCAGCCATGGTTCTTCTAGATGGATTATTTTATAATACCTTACTTCTCTGAGGGTCCCTATAAAATACAGTATCTAAAAACCTTAGAATGGAGTAAGAAGCTGGCCAAACTGGCCCTGCTGGCTGGATTTTCAGGTAGACACACCCTGCTTTCCACACATGCTCGATCCCTTTCCCTAGACTGCATGTATTCCCTCCCTGCCTCTGCTAAGCCTCTTCTTTCAAAGTTGTTATACAGTAACCTAGTGATGGTATCTTCTCCTTGCCCCCAAGACTCTGGAGTATCTGAGCAACACTCAAAACAGGGGAAAAGGATCTTGGACATAAACTGGTCTAACTTTTTAATTTTTCTGATGAGAAAATTAAGATCTAGAGCTAGGCGGCGTGGCTAAGTTTACATAAGTCAGCGACAGAGCTGGAACTCGAACCACTGTCTTTGCTGATCTCACCCTTTTCACCAACCTACAGATGAAAGGTTCAGAGATCTTTTTTGCTTGCTGGTTCCATCTTTTCCTTCTACTGTGGTCTAACATCAAAGGGTTTTTGGTTTCAGGGAGAGACACTGGGGGCAAGAAATGTGATATATATGCCATTTCTTTACGATGATAAAGCTCTATGGCTATAGATTTGGAATTTGTCAAACATTAAGACATTGAGATAATTTATGAAATGTCTGTCTTACCAAAGGGGAATTCTGGCAGATCAATGAATCCCTGCTTGTTGCAGTCTGGAGTGTGGTAGGCCAAGGGCTGACTCATCAGGTGGGCTTTCAGTCCAGCAGCCTCCAAGCCTTCTTTCATGAGCTTCACTGTCTGCAAACTAATTGTGGGGTCAAAATGGCAGTTCACACCTACGATGGAAGCTCCTGCAAGTGGGAAGAACAACTGAGCTTTAGGGATTCACCAGATAACCAGTGGCCTCAACTCTCCTCACTTAATCAAGGAGCTTTTATTTGAAACAGTGAACTACAAGTACAGCCTTTGAGTCTTGCTTCCTTGCAAACCTATTTTACCTTTGGGTGGTGATGATTATAACAGGCAGCAAGGGATTTCTGTGAAAAGTATTTTGAAGAATCTGTTATAACTGAAGTGTCATTTATGCACACTTGGCTGTCCATCTTCTTTCCAAAAAATAATTATTGGAGTTGTTTTTTTTTAACTGCAACTTTTAGGAGTCAACTTTTCAACCTCAACACAATAATTTTTTAACACTCCCAGCTGCCAAATTGCACCTGTGGTACCATACCACTCACTTGAGGACCGATGTTCCTTTTCATCAGGCCAATTAAAAAATATCACTGATCCAGATTCTGGGAGCAGCTAAGCTGATGCCACAAGCCACGGCATCCAGTGCTCAGCGGCAAGCATCTCAGCTGTCTTCACGGGGCTGGGTCTGCAGTTGGCTCCTTCATTCTTGCTCCAGGTCTCCCTCTCATTATTCCTCTGGGTCTTTTTTCTTGTTCAAGGCACCAATGACCTCGATCTTGGAAATCCAGCTGTTGCTCCTCTGTTGTCATCTGATGCAGTGTCTCGGCAGCATCAGTCTAGTGGGCAATCCCCTCCTTCATCAACACTCCCCTTCTCTTGGCTTCTCATGTTCTCTCAGCGTTGCTTCTACCTCGCTGGCTGCTCTCTTTGGCGTTAGGTGCCGACTCCCTCAAGGCTGAACCTTTCAATCCCACAGTGTCACTGGGCCCCAGTGAGCCATGTTCTCTTCTCCTACACTTCCTTTCCAGTCCCAGGCTTTCAGTATGATCTATATCCAGAACTCTCCCAATCTCTCTCTCTAACCCTGACCTCAACTTTGGGTCCCAGACTTAAATATTCAACAGTTTGCTTAACATCTTCACTTGGATCTTGACTACCTTTTTGTTTCCTCTCCTCCTCCTCCTCCTTTTTCTTCATTGGTTTTTGCTTTTGTTTTTTGGATGTTCTGCTGCCAGAGTTTTTCTTTACTTGCTTGACTTCATTACACTAATGAATTAATCATGTGTTGCTTATCTATTGGATGTCTATTAGGTATAAGGGTCCTTTGAAGGGATTATAGAGAATTATAAATATAGGACATGGTCCCTGACACCATGGGTTTCATAAGGGTTGACACAAAGGGCTTCCTAAGGTTTGTTCCATGATAACAAGGCTCTGTGATCAATTGTGAGTAGGTAGCTGTTTACTATATCTCCTTCTTGGAGACTGCCAATATACACAAATACATCAAAGGCTCTGAGAAATTCTGTGTATTGTTCCAGTTTTAGTTTATGTGCTGCCTAAGTGAGTACTAAGGCTCTGAGTAAAGAGACCTGCTTGACTTGGTTTATCACAATACTTTCTACATATATTTCATGACAGAACCCTAATAATGTTCTCACAGATTAGAAAATGCTGACTGAGGATACTCCAAATCAATGGTATAAGTAGAAAGTGTTATAGTTGCTGAGAGGAGGGAGTGTTTCCTTGGGGTAGGGATGGTGATGTACGGAGATGTGGAGGTAGAATTTGAGCTAACATTGGAAGATGGACTGGAGTTATTAGGCTGATATTAATTAAGGACCTATTTTGTGGCAGACGCTGTGCTAGGCACAGGGCACTCAGTGCTAAGCAGACACAGTCTCTGCTTTTTGTGATCTTATAGTCTAGTGAGTCAGACGTTAAAGAGATAAACAAATGAAGTAAGTGGCAAGTGCTACAAAGGATATAAATAGGGTACAGTGATGTCAAACACTGTGGCCACCTACCTTGGATGGAATGGTGAAGGGAGAATTAGACGCAGGCCAGGAATCTCTGCCACTTAACAATGGGAGTCATGGAAGCCTCTTTGGATCTTTTTGAAACAAGTTAACTTGCTTATCATCCCTCCCCCCCTCCATTTTTATATTTCCAAAAAAAAAATTAGGATTATATAGCTTCATTCCTAAATCTAAATAATTGTCATTGTTAATGACAAGTATGCAGTGACTTTTGTGAAATATCAGGAGTTGGATAAAAATCAGAAGTGGAACAGCCAAATACAGTCTCTCTGTTCCCCAAGTGAGTAGGACTCTTGCACGACACTGAGCTGTGCCTTGCATTTAAAGTGAGGCAGCTTTGAAAACAATCTGTCACTTTTCCCTAATTGAAATGAAACCTGATATTAGGAATGGAAATTACTGAAAAAGATAAATTAGCATTTCATACTAAATTATTTTAAGTTCATTATACCAATTACAAAAAGTGAAGCAAATAAGAAATTTATGAACATGGAAAAACTCTGGCCAAGAAGGCAACTGACTTAAAAGTTATTGTTTAAAGGCCTCAGCTTAGGTTTAAAATAAAACACGTTTTTCTAATGCTCCTTCTGGTTGACTGAAATTCTTCTCATTTCTAGGTATTAAACCATCAGTGTAGGTCTAGTGGCCCCTTTGAAAAGGCTGGTATGTGTGCTTTTTACTTTAGTTTACTTTTTTCTCTTTTGGACTCAATAATATTATCAGTACTCCTAGGGGAGCAAATTTTTGGTTTTCCTTTTAGCAAAAGTAGTATGTAGGGGTTATAGATGGACCTACATTACATATGTAATTTTATTAGTTATTTATTTTTTGAGAGAGAGAGAGCACGTGGGCATGAACGCCAGTGTGGGAGAGGGGCGGGTAGAGAGGGAGGCAGGGGATCCGAAGCAGCTTTGCGCTCACAGCACAGAGCCCCATGCTGGGCTCAAACCTACAAACCATGAGATCATGACCTGAGCAGAAGGAGGACACTTAACCAACTGGGCCACCCAGGTGTCCCTGTATGTAATTTTAAAAGAGTCACTAATGACAAACTGGTCAAAATCCATCATCACCTGCTTTAACGAGGCGCACTGCACATTCGCCAGGGCTCACACCGTGCAAGTCTCCCTCTGGGCCGATGCACATGGTCGCTGCCACAGGTTTCCCAGATGATTTCAAGGCTTCCACTGCCCACACAGCCTCTTCCACATGTTCAAAATACTGAAAGAAGATCAGATTAAGGTACTTTTTATCTTATTTCTCCCCAATTAGAAAGCATATTTTATTGCTTAATAATTATGACTAGATGAATAGTCTTCGCATTTTGAGTGTGACCCATTAGCATTTTTTTAAATGGAATTGAAGAGTCATTACTGTGAATTGCAGTCAAAAGGTTTGAAGAACACGTTATTAGATTAATTGAATCAAATTCAGTAGAAAGCTTAAATTGGAAAAAGACGTTAAAACTAAATATTACTAGCCATGATTGGAACCTAATCTCACATGCTCCCCATGAAAACCAAAGATGGAGAAAATATACTAAGCAACCATGTCTCATCTTTGGCGATATCTTTGTTTACCTCTGCAATCAAGAAGTCCACGTTCTTCTTCATAAAGACCTCTAACTGTTGGTGAAATACTTTTTTAACTTCAGTTTCACTCTTGCAACTAAGGTACGAAGGCGTCTGACTCACACCTCCTGCCACCAAAGCATCCCCCTCATCAGCCACTTGCCGGGCAATGTCACAAGCAGCTTCATTGACTTTCTGCCCCTAAAGTGGGTGAATATATGACAGGTCAACATTTTCATGTGAAATTGAAACCAAATTATTATTCAAATGTCCACATCTCAGTTGTATGTTACAATAGAGATTTTATTCTAGAAAATGACAGGGAAAGAATAGTTCGCTTTACCAAGTTGAGCAATTTGCAGAAACAACAATAGTAGTAATGAAAACAGTAAATCTAATGATAGTATGTAGGATATTACGTACCAGTGATCTTTGAGAGGGTAAAAATCTTTACATAAAAGGACCTGGTATCTTCCAATGCCTAAGCTGCGCTTAGAAAAATACCTAGCAAATAGTGATGATGATGATGATAATGATGATTTAAGATCAACAAGAATAAAATTTTAAGTGATGACAGAATTCATGACTTTTTGTCATTATGCATTTTCTTAACAGATAATCACAAGGTATATTCTAATTACCTTAAGCATTAAATATTGACACTTGTCTTCACTAAACTCCAGTGCTGTAAGTCACATAGTCTCATGGAATTTTGGAACTTCTTTTTCATTTTAGAGATCAAGAAGTTGTTGCTTTGATGGCATAGTTGAAGGGTTTGCTCAACATGACAAGGTTGATTATAGCTGAGCCAGGAAGATTCCAGGGTCACTGCCCCCTTGTGCCATTGACCTTTCCCCTACACTGTGCCACATTAAAAGACTTGAATGATATAAGAATTTGTAAGGATACCCTCTCAGCACCTTAGGAGACTGAGACAATCATTTGTTAACTTCTTTGATCTGCTTATTAAATGCCTTTCGGTCTCCAGCTGAAACCTAAAAGAGTTGTTCACACATATCTCATTTCTGTATTATCAAAAAACCCTGAAGAAACTCAACATTTTTCTCTTTGAGAACTTTGGTGATGACAGGTGTGTTTACTATGCCCTTCTAAGAGTGCCATGTGTGGTTTTACTCACAGATATTTTCTCTGCAACATAGTTTCCCCTGTTCTCCAGCTTGTCTTCACTTGCATAAAAGGTGAAGGTTTGCATGACATTGGATCCAGCCCTGAGGAACTCTCGATGAAGCTGGCGGACTGGGAGATTGAATGAGGAAAGGTATTAATTACTATTGGTTTACAGCCTGTGATGTTTTCTAAAGACTATCAGATAAACAGATGTGAGAACACCTGCTTACATTTCTGGTTGCTTGGCATTGGTGCATGCATGTGGAGGCTACTGAGAGGTAGATCTGGTGTCTCCTGTTAAGAAGAGGAGATTATTTCTGCCATGCACACTGGGGTGAAGGGAAGAGGGAGGTTCCACAGGGGGGAATCATTTCAACATTTTTGCTGGGCAGAGAAGATGGGGAAAGGCATTCCCTACAGAGGGAAGGGTCTGAACAAAAAGGAGGCAGGAGTAGGCTTGGCATTCGGGGTGCAGTAAGTAGTCTGAAGCAGGTGGAGTCGAGGCTGTATTGGAGAAGTAGTAGGAGGGGCAGTTGGAGAGGTGGGCTGGCTGACAGAGTACAAATGGCCTAGCACATCATCCTAAGGAGCCAGGGCTTCAGACCACAGGTTTGGGGAAACCTGTTTTCCACTAGCAGTTTGTAAGCAATTGAGTGATGTTATTAGTTCAGTGTTTTTGAAAGATAATTCTGGTAGTAGAGTGGAATAAGAATTGGAGCAAAGTTCCCAAGCATAAGTCTGTGGATGAATGCCAAATGGAAAATCTTTTACAGACTAAAGAAAATATGATAGGGCTTTTCCCCCATACGATCAAATAAACTCAATTTAAGGAACTACCTTTGCTTTAAATAGTATTTCTGAACTCTGGTTCCCCATTAGACAGCCTGCAAGCTTTTTAAAAATAATGGATGCTAGGGCCAAATCCACAAATACTCTATTTTAATTGGTGTGGGGCAGGGCATAGATTTTTTAAGTTTCTCCAGCTGATTTTTATCTGCAGTTTTGTTGAGAACCACCAAAATGCTGTACTTTATTTTGGGAAATAAAATAAAGACTGGGGCTGGGAAAATGTTCCATTTTATTTTTATTTTTTATTTTTTTATGAAGCTGGTGTTTTTATTTTATTTTATTTTACATTTATTTTTGAGAGAGAGAGAGAGCTCACGGGGGGGGGGGGCGGTTGAGGGCAGAGAGGGGGAAGGAGAATGAATGATCTGAAGCAGGCTCAGATGTCAGCATTGACAGCAATAAGCTGTCGTGGGGCCCAAACTCAAGAACCATGAACCAGGAGATCATGACCTGAGCTGAAGTTGGACACTCAAATGACTGAGCCACCCAGGTGCACCAAAATGCTCTTTTTATAAAATGATAGCGAGACTTAGCAGGTGTTCGTTTTTGTCAGGAGAATTAACTGGGCATAGTAAGAAGTCAGCAATCCTGAGTCAGCCTCTGAAATTTATTTTGACATTTCAGAGGGCTTTAAAAGTCAAAGGTCTCAGAGCAACTACATTAGAGGCTAGGAAATTAATAGGACACTGGAGTTCCTAGCCCTTTATGTAAGAGCAGTCTGGTGTCTTTGCATGCTAGCTAACTAGTAGAGAGCAGAGAACATAGGAAGCTCAGTTTTGTTTTTTAGTGAGCAAATACGTGAAGCAAAAAACTTTTGAATTTCAGAAAATGGGTTTCTAAGCCTGGAAACTCTAGTTCTGAGTAGAAACTTAGAATCATGCCTAAATGAGGAAGCTTCAAACTGGTTTTTGTTTTTTAAAGTTTTATTCATTTTGAGAGCGAGAGAATCCCAAGTAGGCTCCATGCTTTTAGTGCGGAACCTGATGGGTGGGGCTCCATGCACAGCCTGAACCCACAAACTGTGAGAGCATGACCTGAGCTGAAACCAGGAGTTGGAGAGTTAACTGACTGAACCACCCAGGTGCCCCTAAAACTTGTTTTAATGAGCAAAAGGAAGCAATTAACAACACTTTATACACATTCCCCATTTATCGATCAAACACAGAGCTGCTGTGGTTGGAGCAGGGTGAAGGGCCTATGGATGAGGTTTCCTATACACTTGGATGAAATGGCTTGTAATTGGGAAGTCTACCCAGGGGGTCTTTGGATGGATTTCCAGAGACTCGGTTAAAAAACCCTGGGATAGGGGCGCCTGGGTGGCTTAGTCGGTTAGGCGTACGACTTTCGCTTGGGTCATGATCTCGCGGTTCGAGGGTTCCAGCCCCGCGTCGGGCTCTGTGCTGGCTGCCAGCTCAGAGCCTGGAGCCTGTTTCAGTCTGTGACTCCCTCTCTCTGACCCTCCCCTGCTCACACTGTCTCTCTCTCTCTCCTAGAAATAAATAAAACATTAAAAAAAAAAAAAAAACCCTGGGATAGTGGGCAAATTGTGTATATGTATATTTTACACTGCGTTTTATACCCTTTTGTTAGATTTTTCCAGAAGGCAGTGACCCAAGTCCTTGCTCTTAATCAATAGGATATTCTTCCATGCTTCTTAAAGCTGCAGAGCTTCTCAGAAACGTAACCCAACTTAGACTCATCTGGGAACAATTAATATGAATTCAGATTTCCTAGGCCCCTCCAGATCCAGCAAACCTTAATTCTTTGCTGAATTCTGTACTAATTTCCCTGGGTATAAGAACCACATCTTTTGGCAGAGACTATGATAGGAGAATTAGTCCACTTAAATAAGACAAAAATACTCAAGAAACAGATGGCCAAGAGATAAACATGGTGTTTCTGCACTGATAAAAGAAAAATCATTATCAGAGCAGTTTCTCTGCTTGAGCTCCTCTAATGCATAGCTTTAAAAAAAAAAGTGACATAAAATCGAAGCTTGTGGTTTAAAATACTTTTAAATGTTTGTTTATTTTTGAAAAAGACAGAGTGTAAGTGGGGGAGGGGCAAAGAGAGAGGGAGACACAGAATCTGAAGCAGCCTCTATGTTCTGGGCTGTCAACAAGGAGCCCAACGTGCGACTCAAACTCATTAAAAGATCATGACCTGAGCCAAAATCGATGCTTAACCAACTGAGCCACTCAGGTGTCCCTCAAAACTTGTAGTTTAAACAGTCTTATTTACATGACAGAGTTTGCACAAAGGTAGCTTATCATTAATATCAGTTTGGCTCAAGAAATATTTCATTGAATTTAATGCAGCAAGCTGACCTTAAGAAACAAACCATAGAGAGATGCCTGGGTGGGTCATTTGGTTAAGTGTCTGACTTCTTCAGCTCAGGTCATGATCTCATGGTTTGTGGGTTTGAGCCCCGCGATGGGCTCTGTGCTGACAGCTTAGAGCCTGAAACCTGCTTCAGATTCTGTGTCTTCCTCTTTCTCTGCCCTTCCCCTGCTTGTACTGTCTTCTCTCTCTCTCTAAAATAAATAAATATTAAAAAAAAAAAAGAAAACAAACCATAGATATTTTTTAAGTCCTCATTATTGAATCTTAATTATCCCATTGTGTTCCTTAAAACCCTTTAATGGCAATGTTTCCCAGAGCATGGTCCACCTTGCTATCACTTGGGAACAATTATAAATAGGCAGGTTCTTGGACCCACTCACGGACCTAATAGATCCAAATCTCTAAGTGGAGGCTAGGAATCTATCATTTTTAATTAACTGCTGGTACAATGAAAATTTGAGGACTACTGCTGCTTTAGCTTCCCAAGCCTACTGAATTCCTCCCTTCTTCCTTTCCTTTCCTTTCCTTTCCTTTCCTTTCCTTTCCTTTCCTTTCCATTCCATTCCATTCCATTCCATTCCATTCCATTCCTTCCAGGGTAGAACACAGTATAATTTCTACATTTATTTGGAAATATAAAAGTTGTGTATATTTGCTGGGTTTAACAGTGTGACTATAGCTCTCTTACTTTGAATACTGTTTCAGTATAGTTTGATTTGAACACAAATTTCTGTACTTCTCTAGCAGAAATAGATGAATACAACCAAGATATTATCAGGAGAACAAACAATGAATTTAATAATAGTTAACATTTGTAGTGTTTAACATGCATCAGGCACTATTTTAATGACTTTACATATAACTTATTTAATGCTCATAACTTTTGAAGTAGATGTCAGTATTATCTCAGTTTTATAGGAGAGGAATCTGAGTCCCAGAGAAGCTAGGTAATTTCCTCAAGTCCACACAGCCTAGTGGCTATCAGAATTTGATTCAATTAGTCTGAATCCAGAGTCTGTATGTTTAATTTTAAAACTGTACTGTCTCTCAGTTTATGTGCTTTGTTAGTTTCTATCCCTTATCACTGAGTTCACTGAAATACGCTCTTCAATAACAGTAAAGACAACTGTTCAAGCTGTATACTATTCACAAGAATTTCCTCCAGTTTCCTCTGAAAGAGGCTGCTTCTTTCACAGTGTTGGCTACTGATGGCTGTCAGCTGAGACCTTCTCTAGGAAGTGCCCTAAGCCAAAGGGAGCTTCCTTGCCCAGGGCTAAGACCTCTCCTGTTAGAGGAGAGGGTTGATAGTTTGCATGCAATGCTTGGTTTATTGGTAAGGAGAGAACAAAGATCCAGCTCCCTGATCTCAATTTGGGACTACTCTGCAGGGCCTGTCCAACTCCAGAGCTTCCCGAGGAATGGCCAAAGCCTCTGTTACAACTGCATCACAGTGTAATTCCTCCCTCTGCCCAATCCCACTCCCCTCACTCCCTTAGCGGTGTTATTTCATAAATTCACTCCTCATTAATACTCCTGAGCACACATCTCCACTTCTGGCCAGCTAGTAATGAGTACCCACCTCATCCTGGGTGACAGAGTTCCCAGCATGCTCTAGGAGTATAATTGTTTAAAAACTTTCTCCTGTGGTGAACTAAAATGAGATGCCCTTGGAAGGGAATGTCCTGGCAGGGGCAGTATCCCAGATGTTTGAGAGACTCAGGAGAAGTAGTAATTATAAGGACTTTACAATCGGATGGCCAATGCTGGGTGTCACTAACATACTGGAGAAAGACAATGAAAGGTTAAGGGTGATTCATCATCACCAGTTTAAGGTAAAATATGAAAGTCTGAAGATCTCCTGGGTGGCATATAAAGAAGCTCACCTCTTGTAGCTAGAGAGCAGAAAAAGCTGAAGATCTGGCCCAGGACCAAGTTATATAGGGAGCAGAGAGTCACAGAGGTTGAATTCTCAACCAGGCAAGGCTTCTATCACCAAAGTTAGGGTCTGATTAGGAAGAAATGGGACTCTGAGATTGGGATGAAGACATATGAGTGGGTTCGCTCATGAACCTTAAAATCCCAAATTTCCCCCTGAACTCTCTGGGCCTGCAGAAGTGAGCCATTTCTCCTCTTTAAAGATTAATGTTTGGGGTGCCTGAGTGGCTCAGCTGGTTAAGTGTTTGACTCTTGATTTTGGCTCAGGTCATGATTTTATGGTTTGGAAGATAAAGCCCCACACTGGCTCTGTGCTGACAGTGTGGAGCCTTCTTGGGATTCCTTCAGTCCCCTTCTCTCTGCCTTTCCCTTGCTCTCAAACACACACACACACACTCTCTCTCAAAGTAATTAAATAAACATTAAAAAAACCCACAAAGATGAATGCTTCCTACTTGCTTTAGGTTGATGCAGAAGCCTTATAAGACAGTATCATCTCCCTCATGTTCCATCCCAACTCCCCTCTTAGCATCTCCCCATAGAAGATCTGTGGTCAAAAAGAGTAAGATGAGAGAATAAGGTACATAGGTATGGGTGCAGGGCAGGTAGATAGTTGAATTTAAATAGGCTGGGGCTAGTATATAATGCATTTAACTAGTTGGCAAATGTACAACAGAGGAGGGCTTATCTACCAGACAGTGAGTGATACTGTACCATGGAACTTAAAGCAGGTAGGGAGGCAGGAAGAACACGTTGGGAGAGAATGGATAATAAACGCTAACATGGAAGAGATGAAGGACTGAGAATTTTGGTGAGGTTGAGGAGTGGTAGAATTAGAGTCTGCAAAAAGATAGAAAGAAGCAAGTGGTTAGAGAGTGGGGATCTTGTTCAACTGGAGATGAGGAAGAGATCAAGGCACTAAGAGGAAGAGTTCTAGACAGATCATCTGCATGGACACTGAAATTACTCAAGAGGTGAGGGAGGGAAGGGCAGAGAAGAAGGCGGTGAGCCAGGTTCTAGACTCACCTAGAGGGAGGGGCAGGAACCAAGAGGCAAATGCAGGTGACAGCAACAGGGAGGGCCACTGTGATCATCCTCCACGTGAATCTGTACTTACATACCTATCACAGTGCCCAGCCAGCAATAATAAATGTTGGAAAATGTGCCACGAATGTCTGTGTTTGATGGCATGCTCCGAGACTGGTCGATGTCACACCCTTTTATGAGAACTTAGAATAGAGCTATATGCACCAACCTGCTTCTGGGTGCTCCACGGCCGCCTCGGGGGTCCAGGGGCCTGCCTTCACATAGCCCCTCTTCTCCAGTGCAAAGACAAACCCTCCATCTCCAATCACAACTTCTCCAGAATTCAAACGTTCAAGAATGCCCTAAAATTATAGATGGGGGTGGGGGAGGAGGAAGGGAGTTACTTGAGTTATTTTTAAGACGATTTTCTATTTTTAATACTTTCCTTATCATATTCTTGAGAAGTGTGATTTCTTTAGAATTCTCAGAAAGTACATGTGTTTATAAATTCAGGACTCTAAGGCAAACAACCAGAGTGCTCGTATAATGAAAATACGAAACTATGTGTATACATGTGCTGGGGTTGAGGGTCTTTCAGAACACAGTAAGAGTTTTGAAGAACGTGGTGGGAAAGTGTTACCTTTGAAGAAATATCTATAGAAGGATTCAATGAAAATGTTTTATTGTAAAGCCTCAAATGCATACTTAATCACGCGTTATTAAAATGGTGAAAGTTACTCTTATTCTAACAGTCCCAACAGTTGGCCTGGCCCCATCTGTCTCTCGGTCAATCCCTGGGGCCTCTGTCAGCGAGGCGGCAAGGTACTTTGACACCCAAGGGTCACGTATATCGCCTCCTCCCTCCAGCCCAACCATCCGCAGTCCGCAGTCCCGCTGTCAGTCTCTTCCTCCACCCGTCTATCCATCCACACCACTCCCCCTTCCACTTCCCAAACTAGACCAGGGCTGACAGTCTGGACTGGAGCACTCATCCCAACTAGGAAAGAGATACGCTTAATCAGGTGCTGGAATTGCTGGGTTTAGGTTTTTAAATCTTTTTAACAGCCCTTACTCCACATCTCTGTGCCCATTTTTTCCCGAGGCTTGAATGGTACATTTTGTTGTGATCGCAGAAACCAAACTGGGGGTGCAAACTTGACATGGCCCACCCAACGCGTGCGCCCCGGGGCTGCGGCGGGACCCGCACAGTGCGCCCAAAAACCCGGCAGGTAGGCGGCCCCGGGATCCCGCTGCACCCCTCGAGGCGCGGGCTGCAAACGGTCTGGGAGCCGCCGGCGCGCGCCTCCCTGGTCTGCCCACGCAGGGCGCCGAGGGGCGGGCCCCGCGGCACTGAAGCTGACGCGGAGTCACGGCCGGGGCGGGGGGCATTACCAGGGTCCCCCTAGTCCCACCGCTGGGGAGGAGAAAAGCCGTGCCTGTAGGGCTAGGAGCCGCACCTAGGGGAGTGCTCTGGTGTTAGGTGCGGGACTCAGAATTGGGAGTCTTGGAGCGCTGGGGGTGTCCTGGAGTCCCGGGTCACTTAGATCTAGGGCGCGCTCTGCATATGGGCGGGGGTGTTGCGGGGCGCCCAGAGGCACCTTGGGGTCCTGCCCGAGAAATTCTGAGAGCACCTTCTGGTCATAGCTGTACTCCGGGAACCCCTCTGCACTTCCTGACGCTGGGACGCGGGGGGCCGGGGGGGGGGCGGGGGGGCGGTCGAGACTCAAAGCCACCGCTGGGATGGAGTGCGCCCTCGGGTCCCCTGGAGACTCACCCTCTTGGTCTTTTTGCCCCCAACGGGTGCCATTTTCGAGGTGTCCGGTGGATAGTAGGCACGGAAGCTGCCAGACGAGGGGAGCTTTACTCCGCGCAAAGCCCGGAGCTGCCCCACCGCCGCAGCCAGGCTCTTTATATCCTGTCCTGGGCGCGGGGTGGGTTTCCCCAGCCTTGGCGCGTCCAACGCGGGCCTTGCACGGGGAACACGCCCCCCGCCCCCCCAGCTTTTTTACTGAGGCCCGCGGCTAGCTGGGAACTTGCCCTGTGGAGGAGAGGATCGAGATTGTTCTCTCAAACAGGTGAACAAACAGACAAGTAAAATAAGAAAATAACTGGGTTGCCGCTCGCTCAGGTTTCCACACTGCCTTTGCCCAGTACCTTCCCCCCCACCCCAGTCCCCCGACTCCCCCTTCCTCACATCGAGGAGTTCTGACCCTGCTTTATCTCTCTCTTGTGTGGGACCATGCACCATTACCCACTTAAGTCACCAGAGGAGGCCCCTAAGAATTCTATTCATGCACAAATATTTGTCAAAGGCCAGGATACAAGGTTATTGAATGGAGGAGGTGATGCCCTGGGAAGAATTTGCCTGAGGTGTGATCTAGGTGAAATGTATCCAGGGGTTATGTAACAGAATACAAGCACAGCATTTACTGAACGGCTAATACTAACTCTGAATTACTGGGTATGTTCAAAATGAACTTTTGCCTTACATCCAAACACGCCATGCAGTTTCTAATAACACAGTAATTTTCTAGTAAGAATATCTTTCCAATATATAATCAGGACAGACTTTTAACATGTCTATATACTAGTGGAAATATACCTTGGACATTTCAAAATACAGTTCGAAAACTGTGTGTAAAGACATATAGGCATTAGAAGAACTGGAAAGAAATAGAAATGTTAACAGTAGTTATCTGATGATGGTGGAATTAGGGCTTGCTTTTATTTTATTTTTTGCTGTATTTTCCAAAATATCTTTAAAATGAGAACACATAGATTTTAAAATAATAAAAAACATTACTTTAACAAATGTACAACACAACAGTAAATATCCTGGAGAACAGAGTTAAAAATCCTGAAACAGAGTTCAGAACCTTTTATCCAAATAAAAGCACATAAGGGAATTTTGTATGTGGAACAGGAACTTTCATTTCAACAAATGCAAAGAAAGAAATTATTGCAGCGAATGATGAGTTCATAGAAATTTAGTTTATAAAATGATGTGCACTCAAGATACAATTGAGAAAGTAGAAAAGTCCTTTTTCTTGTGATAATTGTCGAGTTTAATATGGGAAAAAATGTAAGGATGATGGATGCATATACTGTAATTTAAATAATCGAATGTTTCAGTTGCCCAACAAGAATGAGGAATGAAGGAATGTTAGCCTTCCCAGGGTTTACATTTTCGACTGTTAAAGCACTGGAGTGTCTGAGAAGCTAATAGTTTAGTTAATGAATTAACTACTTACAGTTGTACCCTGATGAGTATGGGAGAAATGAACAGGTTCAGAGTGAGTTGGTGGTGGCTGCAGGGAGTAGCTGTAGTGGCGGGTACCAGGCGATAGGGGGCGATATCGGGGCTCTGACAGTAAAAGCTGAAGCGGACTTTATCAATTTCACACTGTTCCAAATTGTAGCAAAATTTAGGAGAGATTTTTAAACCATTAGCATTTAATTTAAAAATGAATTGCGAATTTTTAGTAGATCGTGGAGATACATTGCAAAATTTTAAGGTCTTTCCCCAGCTGTTGTTCCCAGTACAAGTCCTTCCTGGAGGTAACCACTATTCCCTATTCTTCCAGAGCAACTCTATGGATATTTAAGTATATACATGTATAGTTGACAATTTGTGTTTAAATGTAGGACATTTTAGTTATTTAAACAGTTGTCCACTTCTCCCTATTCCAAAATGATTTATGGGCAGTTGTTGAAATATTTTTGTTTTTTCCACAGCTTCTCAGTTTGTTATCCTACTTCCCCACCCCCATCCCAATTAGGGTCATTAAAAAGAACATTCACCTACTATTTCCACAATAGATAATAATGTCCACAGTTCACTGGGTGTTTACTGTGTGCCAGGTAATATGTTAGATCTTTTACGTGCACAATATCATTTATTCACAACTCTGTGAGGTGGGCACCTCCACTTTGCATTCAAGAACCATGAAGTTAGGAAGTAGAGCGGTTATCAGTATGACTTCTAAAGTTCCTTTGCCCCATTCCCAAAGGACTAAGTCTGTTTTGTTACCACCTGGGGTGTGAGTTCTGTAATAACTGTTTTTGGGAGGTTGCCCATGTCCTTTGTTCCCTGCCAGAGCAATGAGATGATGAAGGTCATAATACTGAAGACTTTGGCCTTTTACAGAACTCATTTGGTGTTAAAAATAAATCTTGAAGGGAAGAAGGAGGGATAGAACTGAAGATCCACCTTCCTCTGTTTTATAACTTTCAAAGAGTGGCTGTCTTTCTGTCTTCTGCTGGTGCTTTGCTTTACTTATAACCCCATTTATTCATTTAATAAACCTTTAAATGTTTCGTTCACACAGTGTTTCAAACACCGTGCTTGCTGCTGGAGGTATAGGATATCTCCTCCTTTTTTTCCAAGTGGGATAGAAACCTTCTCATGTAAGAATTAAAATGTCTCCTTTTTCGATCCGTAGATGGGAAAACATTAGGACTTGTCATGTTCCATTCAATTGGGATTGTCTTTAAAACAAAACTGGCTTTTCGTAGATCTTTTTAGACTAAAAATATTGCATTTAGCCTTTAAACCTCTGAAGATATGTCATGTTTTAACACCATGTAGAATACTGTTTACCAACTGGTGACATGGAAATGGAGTCAACCTCTGTGTTTCCTTTGGCAAGGCCAGTGTTTTTAGAAAATGGAAACTTCTTTATATAGAGCCTTCCTGTTTGCCAGTCAGCCCAACATCAGGTGTCCTATGGTCTTCTTGTTCACATAGGTACCTTATCTGGAAGGCATTTGAATTTTCAACTCTTGCTGTAAGTAGAAGGTATATATGGGGCTGTTAAAGACATATAAGATGTCCTTTGGTTTAGCCCCAAATTAAAGATTTTATTTTCATTTATATTTTTTCATTACTATTAACCCCAGCTATTTTCTGTTGCCACTGCCCAGGATCAAAATAAAGGGATGGTGGTGGCGGTGGGCTTTTCATCTACAACCCTCCTCCCCAGTGCCCAGACTTTCCCCACTTTATTGTTTCTGGTAGCACTTCATTCTCTCTGTCCATGGACATGGCCACACACAACACACCAGGCATACCAAATCCCCTCACACCATTATCCCTTTTTTAAGAGCCTGGGTTTATTCATATGTAAAATTCAAGTTGAAACTAGGTGACTTTTCACTTTTTGTTTTTGTTTTTGTTTTCAGTTGGCTTGGCATAAACTTCGCTTGGCATAAACTAGAGCATAAAATAGCCTCTTCCCCGGGGTGCACACTCTGCCTTCCCCTTGTGGTCACCAAGAATTCCCTTAGGTTGGCTCGGAGAGTGCATCTGGCTCTTGTTCATGCCTCCAACTGTAGCCCATTCCTACTTTCTGGAGATACAGCAGAGTAGCTCTATTTTGCTTTTTTCTTAGACTGTTCAGGACTTCCTTCCACCACAAGTACAAATGTTTGTCTCCGAGCTCGCGAATCTGCCATCTTGTACAGAGTCTCCTGGTTTCCACAGGAGAGTCCTCCAGCCAATGTTCCTCTGAACTCTGGACACACCCAGGTTCCCACACTATTCTTCCAGCATGGCTTTCCCATCCGAAGTTTTCCTTCTAGCTCTGAAATTTTTCTTTCTTCTCTCTCTTTTTAATGTTTGTGTATTTTTAAGAGAGAGAGAGAGAGAGAGAAAGAGTGCAGGGGTGCAGTGGGGGAGGGGCACAAATAGAGAGGGGACAGAGGATCCAAAGCCACCCAGGCTCCCCTCTCTCTTCTCTTAAGCTTTTCCTTTAACACTTTCTTCTGCAGTCATGTGCCTTTAAAACAAACAAACAAAGAAACAAAGAAACAAACCCAAACCTCAATAACTCTAACTTTATGGGCACTTACAATATGGAGTTAGCTGTGCTATGTGCCTCAGAGGCATTATGTAACTAACCTTCACAATAACCCTAGGAGATTTTGCCATCCCCACTTTACTGATGACAGTATTAAGACACATAGATTAAATGGTAACTTTCTAAAGATCCTGTCAGTAGTAAGCATGGAGCTGGGAGGAGGATTTTAGACCAGGCAGAATGAAGCCAAAGATAAAACTCTCCAGAGCTACTCTATACTTCGTTTTTGGTAAAATATTCTTCTAAAAATCTTCCCAACTCTTTATAACCTCACCCATTCATGTCTTCCCTGTCCCCACCGCCTACCAGCACACACTCACTTGACCCAACACAGAGGTTCCTTCTCTTCGTCAGGAGAAGTTCAGATTCACTGGATGT